CACTTGATGTGTTCATAATAATGAGAAACATGATTAGATTTCACGAAGCATAGTACTTTATTTATTTTGTTATAAATAAAATTGTGCAACCAAGAGTGGCTTAACTAAAAAATTGTAAAAGACTAAACTACCCCGAAAGTATCTAATTAATTAACTAAACGTAAAGACAAAAACTAAAATGGACATCAGAGCATAAACACACGGCCAGGATAGCACGCTTGTGCTCGAGTCCCTTTCGCAGGTTCATCCATTAGCTGACTTTAGGTGATATTTTCATACAAGAAACTCGAAGGCCACCATGTCAACATCATCCTTCCTGGCCAAAGATGATTCCCACTCGTAAGATCAATAACTCTATCATTGCCCGACAAAGAATCTCCCAAGTACAGATTGGGGTTCTTAGCATTGAAAACAGCAGTTGTGTGGATGTTTGTTAGAAAATATGAAAGGGAGAAGGATACAACAAAAGGAAGAATAATAGGCTTGAACACGAAACGTTGTCATCAAAAGATATTTGCCCCCACTTGGATTTTTAGAGTGGTTGAAGGGATCTACCGACAAATAGTTTGTTGGATTAAACAAGTCTTTAAAGAAGAAACAATAAAAGCACAAGTCATTCTTCCAAGAACTTGATGAAAACCTTAAAGAATTTGAATACGTACGTAAAAATTGGAATTACTCAAAAATGATATAGAATGATAATTTCTTGTGTTTAGTGTTAGGAATATATATCAATTCGTTTAGACCTAAATATGTGGATTTAGCCAATGAAAAGCAACACATTACTTATTTATTATTTTTAGATGATTAAGGTTAAATACAATTTAAACCCTAAGTTAAACAATCACAAACGTATAAATGAAAAGCATAAAAAGTAAATAACACCAAGAATTGACGACGGAGGAAAACCACTTGAAAAACTTCATAAGGATCAAAAACCTTTGGGTGAACTTTACCAAAAAGGTCTACTAGAAAAGCTAACTTACAATTGATCCAAACACTACTAAACTTTAGCTGATTCTGACTACTCAACTTGTAAATCATCGAATAACCTCTTCGATTGTGCGACCCGCACTTTCCAAGGCTACTTGTCCCTCCACGTAGATCACCAAGAACGAACTTGTTTCGAAGCGTTGAAACTCCTTGAGCCTCTTCTCCAACTTTAGAACTCTAAAGGCTTGTGGGTGAAGGTAAGAATTTCTGGTGTTTGAACTTTAGATGTTCTGTATTTTGATATTTGGTTGAAGCAAGGGAATAATGAAATCGAGTTGATCTTCAATGGAATGTTCACTTAACTGAAATTAAGGCTCAACCAATAATACAAGATGTTTGGGATGAATTATGAAGATTGAATATTGGGGTTGAATCAAGATATCTTTGGAATGTATTTATGTTCTTCAAATGATGTTCTTTAATATGAAATTATGATTCAACACACTTTAGAATGAACCTATGCTTGGAGGATTGGAAAATAGCTTAAATTTGCGATTAGGACTCTTCCCAGATAAAGCTGCCTTCACGCCTAGCGAGCGATGAGTCCATCGCTCAAGCGCCAAGTTCGTGCTTAACGAGTGGTGATGTTCCTGTTTAGAGCAATTTTGTGCCAACGAGCGATTTTGTGTCAACCTTGTCTCCTTGGTCCATATTTGTCATCTTTGATTCCTTCATCATCGTTACTACAAATTTTTTACTATTTTGATTTTAATTACAATTCAATAACTCATGATTTTGAACACAGGTATAGCCAATTACAATTAGGACCTAAGATTAATGAAAAGACAAAAAAAAATTAAATTGTGAAACTAGCCTAACTGACCATGCGCATGCTTTTTTGCATTCGCATGGCCGTAAAGCCCAAGCGTGTGCATAAGCTAATTGCCCAACCCACTTGCCCACGTTTTGATTTCAATCGATGTCCAATTCTTCTTGCATGATTTTTGAAATCCTCTATTTGTTCAATTCTTCTTCTATGATTTTAAACAATTATAACATATGTGACTTGGTGAATGCAAACGATAGACATTGAGATTGATCTTCTGAATGATTTCAACCGGACCAATTTTCTTTGTCATCAACTTGTTGTATTTGTGTGTTCGGACACGGTCTTTAGTGAGGACAGCCTAGATATAAAAAGTTCACTACAGAAAATTCAAGCTCATACCGCTTGTTGTAAGCTGTCGTTTTATACTTAGCTGAAGTAATTAAATGATCATGAGTGGTACGACGAACCTGCTGAAGTTGATCGATAAAATCAGAGTTAGTTCTATGGACTCGGGATTTATTCGGAAAATTGAGAAATTTAATGGGACTACGAAGCATGACAATGTAGACAATCTGGAAAGGAGAAAATGAATCTAATGGTGATTTGCAGAATGATGAAGGGATAGAAATTTTTAAAACATGGGCAAGGAGCCGAAGGGAGAGCCAATGAGACATCCCTTTCAGCAGAGGAGGTTTTTTTTACCATTAATCTTGTGTTTCATCTGTATAATATAATCAATTCACAATTGGCATGGGATATATTGCATTGTTTGTAGGAATTCAACACTGAGAAATTCCAACTGGTTGAAGCCAAAAAGAAAAAAGGTTCGTCAAGAGTACGAGCATAAGACCAAACAGGTGGAAGTTCATCAAAAGATGGATTTATCAATCCACACTTGAATTTCTTGTGGCATTTTGACATGAAGTTTAGATTTTGAATTGAATTGAAGCTATGACATGAAAGTAACATTATTGTCTATGCAGTGAGCACATAATGCAGCTAAAAGCATCCTGTATCAAATCTTTAAAATATGTTTTTCAATTTTTAAAATTTATTGGCCTCCGAATCCGGCAGACCAATTGTCAACAAATCTCAACTCATCTCCTTCACATGTACGTTAAATGAACTCTTGGACAAGCATGTTAGAGGCACAGGGCGCAGCTTCTCAGGACAAAGGAGAGGCCACAATCGCGTGCTCTCGAAGCTCAAGTCAAACAAACGAACAATAATTTGGTTTGAGAGACATGAGAAAAGGAGAATAAGAATATCGTGTTTTAGATTTGAAAATGAGATTACCAAATTGTGATTACCATTAAATGATACAAAATGTGAATATTTATAAGCAAAAGAGATGCAGTTCAAGCCGATCGGATGCTTGACACATGGCTTCATTTAAACTGCTGGTGCCACATAGTAATTCATAGGCCTTTGACCTCCCACACCTGTCCTAGGTGGATTAACACAGAATTGACAAACCGTCTTTGTAGTGATCACCTAATCATACAACTTTATGGATTAAAACAATCCTCAACCAAGAAGATAGAGGAGGTGACACGAACGAATGCATTTGCCTCGGAGGAGACGGGGTTTACGTGATATTTTGTTAGCTGGTAGCCACATGGGCAGAGACGTAAAAGAAACAATTCATCAAAGTTCAAAGAGAATGTTTTTTATGAACAATAGTTGCTGGTTTATGCCACAGATCGTGTTGGCCTTGATAGCCTGCTACATTGGCTACTTTGATCCCCAAACATCTTTCATTAGGCTTTGCATTATATCATACGCTAATATCATGGTAATTTAGATCACTGTAAAAACAGATAGTCTGCTCTTAAATGAGGATTATCCCAAACAAAAAGGCAAAAAAAGTTGCCAACTTGTGCAGTTAAAAGTCCCTTTGTTTCTCATAAAGGAAGCCTAAGACTACCTACCTTTTACCTGGCTCGACTTCTCAGCACCCAAAATAACTAAAAACAATTTTAAGTCTCACTAACTGAATTATCGGCTTGAGATCGTGTCTTTTTTGGGCTATTCATGATGTACAACCCTATTTCCATAGTGATATTTCATTTGGAAAATGCAATCCATTTTCAGCTTAAATCATTTTAGATGCACATCTTACACATGAACACATCTATACAAGGCATACTAATCAACGGTTCGTGCCATCTCACTGCCAGATTATCCCTGCTACTCAACAAAAGGAGAGAAAATCTTAAATAGAACAAGTTACAATTCCAGCCTAAAGTTTGTGTCATTTTCTTTACTAATCTTCAGTTAATGAATTGCCCTTTACAGGACTAGCAAATTTGTTCTCTAATGGACACAACAAAGATAATGCACAATCTTGTCATTAGTTTGCCAGACTAAAACCTAACATGCCATACATCAGAAATTTCCATAGTTTTCTAAGTATCAACAGAAAGAAACTGCCCCTTATACAACTAGGATAAGCTGAACAAAAGCCGTTGGTTCTCTATCCAGGGCAGTTCGCATTCTGTCTGCAATGACCCAAAACCAGACTACCGGACATGAACTTATTATAGACAGCACTTTCTGGTCGCAGTGCCAAAATTTTTCTATTCAATCCTTTCTTTTTGATTTTTTTTTTTGGTTCTTGTGTGAGCGCAAAAGTGTTTGGGGTTGGAGAGGGGAATGCCAAGAATTTAGTAATTGGCTTCTGAAAACAATTTTGATTCAAATGGATCACACATAGAAGTGTATATATATGTGTGTACATAGGGGCCAGGGAAAACAAACGAACAAGACAATAAAGCAAAATCAGAGGAAGAAAACTTCATTCCTTATTCTTTATCATGACAGAACTCCGTATAAATCATCATCTAACAATTACACTACAAAAAGATGACCGATGCAACAATCATGTTTATGTCCATATCTATAATGATTTTTTTTTGTAGTTTATGAACTTTGATAAATTTATAACCTGGTCCCCGGTCCTGATGCTCCGTCTCCATATTTCTCTTCTGTCTCTAAGAACCCGATGATTTTCATACTGTCTTCTGCTTAGCTCTCAATTCAATTAACCACTAATTGCAACATGGAGAGGAGCTGGCATGACCAGTTTGCAGACGTTGCACTATATACAAAACCGCAAGCAAGCACACTACAATGAAGAAACATGAATGGCTAAGCCAGACTCTCTGCAGACATACATACAAGGATTGAAAATCCAAGGCATGATTGACCTATCGTGCATTATTTTCTCTCGTAAAATCTATGACGATGCTGTCCTTCCAAGATCATGGTACCGGAGCTTCCCGCGTAGGCTCTGGTTATAATGACACATTTATCAGAACCAATAATAGTTCAAATACAAATCCCCAACCAAAGAAGCACATATTGAGATCAGACCCAAAAATTGTAGCATTAAATGTAAATCATACAGCACATATCAGGACAATGAAACTGGAAAACAAAATCTCACAAACTATCAAACAGGTTTCATACCCTCTTTTATTCTCTAAAAATAAGCATATGTTTGTCAAGTGTTTGTACAGTCCAAAAATGGTTAACCAATTTTTATCCACACATTTCGTGATACTCACAAGTACTACTTACTTATTCACCACTCATTTTTACTTATTCATAAACAAAGACCATTTATAAACACTTCCCTAGCAAACTCAAAATGAAAAGGTGAAACAATTTTTTTTCCAAGGTGTAATTGCGACAGGAATACTTCTAGAATAAATCTGAACTCGAACATACAAAACCTATACAAATAGTGATTCCTATGACAATTTACCATCCAACTAAAGCTATTTATTAAGAATGCACCAGGAAAAGAATGATATTCTTGTAAGTATTTATTCCAGATTGAGGCTTCTTTAGAACATCTCATTGTTAGCAGAATAAAGAGGCCAGAAAGAGGAGAAGCATGGTAACAAGAAGGCAGCCATTGCCCAAAGGCAGTCTCGTTACGATTTTCTGAATTAGAACTTCAATTGCGCAGTTATATGTCATTGCTCAAACTGAAATGCATTAAAGAAGTGTAATATGCAAACTAAATAACAGCTAAGTCCAGTCAAAAAATTTCTCAAGACAACTAAATCCAACTTGTAGAATATATTCCAAGAAGTTCTATAGGCATAAACATGTTTCCTTTATTCAGTGCATGATAGAAAGGGAAGGCAAAGCTTTTGATTTATTTCATATTGTCAAAGATTTGTAGATGGTTTTGCAACTTGTCAAAGATTTGAACCCATAATTAGCAGGCATAGTTTTTGGACTGCTATATTTTTAGCCTGATTGTATGGAGTAGATTGTTACACAAAAGATGGGGAGCCACCGGAAGTCATCAGGTGGCCCAACTAGAATCACCTACGCAAGAAGAAGAAAAGGGTTAATACATCCAACTGTGAGGCAGCCAGGTCACATATGTAAAGGCATGCTTTTGACTGTTAATGAGTTAGGAAATACGAACAGTCTCAGGCTGTTAGATTAACGTTGTTACCCCAAGTATCTCGTGGCAAGTTTCAGTTCCAACAGCCTCAGGCTCTCAGGTTCAATCCACTCTGCTTCTGCTACATTTTTGAAGGGAGGTCTATAACTAGGATGAAGGGGGGGGGGGGGGGGGGGGGGTTATGTAAAGGCATGCTTTTGACTGTTAATGAGTTAGGAAATACGAACAGCCACAGGCTGTTAGATTAACGTTGTTCCCCCAAGTTTCTCGTGGCAAGTTTCAGTTCCAATAGCCTCAGGCTCTCAGGTTCAATCCACTCTGCTTCTGCTACATTTTTGACTTCTCCTGCCTTATTTCCGTTGCCTCTTTTTACCTTTATGTGGTGGTACAGTCTCCGCTTATCTCAGCCTGGGAGCCTCCTGTTTCTTCCCATCAACCTTGCATCCCTTGAAAAGATTATAAACATTCTTTGCTCCTAAGCATATAACTAGCAAAATCCTGCGGCTTATTTATATACACATTACCGAACTTCAATAAGAGGTTATTTACGTATCGCTGTGACTAGGTATAAGGCCAAGGCTTTTAGCATCTCTCAGTTCAACAATTTTACCACCTGCAACTAGGATTAACCTCAATATTTCTCCATCATACACATTCAAAATTTAAAATTTAGCAAGGTCCACATTGACTCGTATCAAATTTGGAAAAGAAAACCAAAAAACAGAAATGTTCAAGAAAATGAAGAAAAAAAATATGTTAAGCATCTAACCAGCAACACAATATCTAGGCGAAGAACATTAAAAAGAAAAGAAGTTTCAAGTATTTGAAGAGAATTCAGAAATGGTAGTAGATGACCTTAGACACGGATTGGGCTATATGTCTACCATCCTGAAGATCTGGGAGTTGCACGGCCGAACAATCCCTGGGAGTCTCAAAAGAAGACAATGAAAACTGCTTTGAAACCACACCAACATCAAAGTAAATCAACCCAGAGCTCGGAATATCCACCCGGATTTCCTTAACAGGGAACCACAGGAACAAATCCTGCGCAGAAATCCCGGATAGCTCGTCGATCTGCCCGTAACGCAAAGTACCCGAAACATTCCTTTCATAGTGCAGTTCATTTTCAAACTTGGCAATGCAAGCGCGATCCAAGTGAACCTCGAATTTCCCAGAATTATCCAAAATGAAGTCCTTTACGCCTTTCGGTAACAATCCCATCGGAAGCCCATGAAGCTTAAGCACTTCGTATATCGATGATGAAGTTCCGGCTCCATCATATGCAGTTGATGTTACGAAAAACAGAGTAGAAAATAGGATCAAAAAATTGCTAAATGGAACCATGATTCTCTTAATGCTATGGCATGGAACAAAAAAATTCGGGTTTTTTAAGGCAAAATAAAAGGGTGTGAAAATGAGAATCCACACAGCGATTCGATTACGAGGGTGTTGAAGAAGATTGAAGACGATGCCAGCAAGATTACAGAGAAGATTTAGGAGAATGATCAATTATTGGTGGAAACAGCGGGACCCATTTCCTGGATCACACTTGTCTACAATCGATCTTTCCAGTGTTTGATGAACTAACCAATGGGGCTTCAAATAGTAGGGATATAATTGTAATTGAATCTATTAGTGAAGTACTGTTTGACACGTGTCACTCTAAGGATGGCTTAAGGATAAGCGTAATAAGGGGGTGCCGGCCCCAACATCGGCAGGTGATATGCATGAAGACTGAGTGATAAGTACGAGAAAGAAAGGACATGAAGAGTGTGCAAGTAGAAAAGGGAAAATTGTATCATTAGCCACCAACTTATTACTCTAGTGGCAAATTGATCCCTAACCTTTAAAAGTAATATTTTGCTCACAAGTTGAATCACCTGAAAATTTGAAGTGAGACCTATTTCAACACAGAAAACGTGATAATTTAACAAATATTTGAATGGTTTTCTTCATTAAGGAATGATATATAATTATAATAAAAGATGACGACTATGTATTCCCATAAAGGTTCTAGTTGAGTTTGAAAAAAATATAAATAAATAAAATGATCTTCTTTTACCTTATAAATTGCCCTTAAAAGTTTAGTCCATAGGTAGCTCAACTCCAAATTTTAGAATATTTCAAAATAATATGATTTAGGATTGGTATTGTTGAGCATCTATCCATATGATAGTGAAAATCCACATTTAATTATCCAATAAATCAAAATCAATTTCAAATTCATTGAACGTTCAATTGCGGGCTCATTTGGAAAGGTTTTTCAAAAATCAAAAGCTGCTTCAACACTAAGAAATTACTTTTGAATATATTTAAATAATTTTCTAAAAGTAATTTATTCTCTACAAGAAATAGAAACAAAAGTATAAGTCCTGCCGAACGAGCTCTAAGGGTGGATCAGTATTATTCGCTTAAACTGATGTTAAATACAAGTGATGTCAAGTAACATTACTCAATTTAAAATCTAGTTCTAGTTAATTGAAGACCAAATTGTTATTAGAGCAATGATTAGGGGTGTGGGGGTGCAAAATGCAACCACATTCCAAGACAGTACGTATTTGGAGAGAAAAAGCATGTGAAGATGGGGCTGGATTTTGTTCTTTTGATAAATTATGATTTTTTTGTCTGCTCATACATTTTGTCTCCCTAAATTATTTTGTTTATGTTTATACTCTAATAATGCATCATGGCCAAATAGTATATTACATGTGATATTAGGTATGGCATGCAAGTGCCATTATGGCTTTGTGTTTATATAGTCAAGACGACGGCCAACCGCACATGAAGACATGTTTAGCGATTGAATAATTTTATTTAACGCCGTTACAGTTTCAATTTAGACGATACTATGTGATATATTCAGTTAAATGTAGAATTTTATGACTCATTTAACTATACATCTTACTTAATAACATTCAATATCATTCTCTCTCGATAAATTTGTCTCATTTGCGAATTGATTTACCAGTTCGGTTGGATATTCACGGTAAATTGTTATTAAAAGTTTCAGCTGTCCAATTGATGTAGGTCACGCCTACCCAACACAAAAATTCATATCGGATTGCAATTCAAAAACTAGAACTCAAGTTTTATTTACATTAGCCTTTATTCATTATCACGCTTATATCATTAAATTTTTTCTTCATCGTATTCTTATTTTCAACATTTTATTAATCAGAAAATATTGTCTTTAATCATGATTTTCGTCCAAAAATGTTGTTTACGTGTTTTAAGATGATGGTTAAATATTTCATCGCATTTTTACAATATGTTTTGTTTTGCTTATTCAAAAATATAACTGGCAAATAATTATTTTTAATCTATTTTAAAGAAAATTTTGAAGAGAAATAATAATTAGGAACAATATAAGTTAATTTCAGAATAAAAATGTTATAAAAAAAAGTTTAAGATATGAATGTGATAATGTGTAAAGGTTATGAATCTTTCGTGCAATTAAAATGTAGTTTAATTATAAACCATTGCTTGATCTCTATTATTTCCAAAATTCATTTTTCTATCTTTTTTTAACCATATAGTCTTCAATAAAATAATATTACACTTAAGTCTAAAAAAATTTCTTTTTTTTTTTTTACCACACATTTTTCATCAATCTACTATTTTAAAATGTATTCTTAAAAAAATGAGCTCAAACAAACTCTAAAAATTATGGTGTGAATATATTTAACCTAAAGTTGTTTAAATACCTTAATGAAATAAACCCTAGACGAACTCAAAAGGACAAAACTACCCTCTAAAATAAAGGGTCCATAAAATATTGACCATGCAAGAATTTAATAAAACTAAAATAATATAATAATTAAATAAAAAGCAATTCAAATAGCTCGAGGCAGTTCGATCGAGGCCAAGCCGAACCAGCTCCAAGCTCAAACTCCTTTCTTATTTCGCCTATCTGACTTTGACACGAATCTCTCTACTACTCTATCATCAACCAGACTTGGTGCGCACTCTAAGTTTCACAGGGTACCCCTCCAATCTCACACTCATTGCCACCTTCTCACCTTGTAATTTGCTGCCATGCTTAACAAGCTCCCGAAGTATCACTGAATACTCAGTTTGTACTTGTGTACTCATAGTGCAACACTAATTAATGATTAAGGACTAACTTATTTCTTTCCGTAAGTTGGAGATTAACTTGAAACTTGAGAAAAAGATTGGAGACCAACGATGCAATTTTCCTTTATTTAGTTGCAAACCTTAGAACCCTGATATGGGAGTTTCTGTTCACTTATCATTTTAGATAACGGTTGTGCTATATACATATAATGATTTACATAATGATTCACAAACATATGATGTGGTGAGATATGATTGAATCAAAAAAATTTCAACCAAATAATAATATTAATAAAAAAAAACTTTTTCACTCTCTCTTTGACATTTTATCTGTATATAACTCTTTTATGTATAAGTAGCATTATTTTTTAAAGAAAGTGAACTTTCACAACCCCATTAAGAGCACAAATCTTGATTCTGGTTTTGAAGAAAATTGAGCGTTTTAAAAAAAATACACTCGAATACTTTCCAAAACACAACCTAATTGTTTAATGTTTGTACAAGGTAATCTATGGTAAATGTTTTTCCTGTCCAAAATCTTGCTTGGATTAGTTATCAAATTAAGATCACTAGTGTCTTTTTCATGATGATAGAAGTTTGATCAACTTGCATGCTAAGGGTATGGTGGGTGGCTTCATTAATATGTAACAACCCACGTTTTTTGGGTTTGTCTCTACTTTGAAAGATACATATTATTACTTAAAGAATAATTTAATGCATGTAAAAGTATTGTTTTGATACACCCAAAATTAAGCGTCTTTCAAGTCTTGTTTAATAAATGAAATACAGACAATAATATATTGTCCCTCTTTGGTCCCCATTTTTTAAAATTTATTTTTTTCAAACTCGCTTTCAATCATATGTTTCATAGTATCAACATTTTTTATCAACCTTTCAACCACACATTTTATCAATTTTTATCGAAATTTATTACAAAATTAATTTTTATCCAAAGCAAACAAGGGGTGTGTCTAAATCAGTCGTTGGATTTAACGTATTAGCTAGGTTGTTAGGATATAGGTTCGATTAATTCAGACGAAGTGCCATGTCATTAGCATAGAGAACTCGGAAATATTTAATCATCTAGTTGAGTTAAATCGAAAGAAGTAACTTGGTTAACTAATATAAAAAAACGGATGTATTTTTCTTTTCTTTTATTCCGGTCCTAATAGAGAGTAACTATAATAAGTTGGAATGACTCTTGGCCAAGGAATTAGTCAATGCACATATAGTATAACTCAACAATTCTTTGAATTGCTAATTTATGTTCATATTCATTCTTTATTCTTAATTGGCATCTCATTCTCAAATCATTATTCGATTATTTGGACTTTTTTAATTGAATTTTGTTACTAAAGCGAAGGTTTTCCACACAAATTTTGGGAAGTGTTAGAAATTTGGTTTATTTCTAAATTCAAGAAATATGAAAAAGAACACGATAATTCTCAACCCTTATTTCTTAGTAATTAGATACCTTAACTTTACAAGTTTACGTCACTTGAATCTTCGAAGGACCGCAGCTATCAATTTGACTATTAAAAAAATTAAGTTTGACTAAATAAACATATACACTTGTTTTAAATTAGATAAAAATAAATAACAAATAGAAAGACTTAGTCCATGTTTGATTGTGATTAAAATAATATTTTTATTAAATTTTAATAAAAGTTGATGAAACGTAAATAAAAAGTTGTGAATCCCATAAAATATATGGTTAAAATCATTCATTGACTTTGATTTAAATTAAAATTTTAATTTTACCAAATAGGGGCTTACTCTCCAACCACACCACTTCTAGGCTCTAGCCACCCCAAATTGCCATGGGATGGGGCCGTGAGGTGAGGTTGGTAGAAAAAGGGAAGGTGGGAGGTGTTACAAAAAAAATAAAATTCGTGAACAAATACCAGATTTACAACACATATTGGATATGTAACTTACATTATATGCAACTTACCGGATATATAACTAACATACTATATATGCAATTTACCGTGTAAACAATAACTTATCGAATAATAGTTAAGATATAACATATTAAATAATTTGCTAATCACTACAAACAAAAAAAGTTATATAAATCACGATAAAATAGAACAAATAATCTAAACAGTGGAGAATATAATTCAATTGAACTTTAAATATCTAGACATGTGCGAACACAGTTTCCTTAAAACAGATTTATCCCCCTCACCGTATGTACTTGAGATTTAATTTGAGCATCTGTTTTTCAAGATACAATAGTAAACCAATAGAGTTCGAGTACTGCAGAT